CAGCTCCCCGAGCTGAAAAACAAGTGGAGTTATTTCCCTAAACGCTGATAAAGCATCAAGCATCCAGCCTCACTTTTTTTTTCCTTTTTTTTTACACAGCTCCACAAAATGTAGTGAGGCCAGTTAATGAAATTGCCCTCCTCCTCAACCTTGGAAGTGCTGCTGCTGTTACTGGCAAACTAACCTTGGCTGACATTACAGCCGTCCAGCAGCTCGCACTTGTGTTTCTGAAAGGCAGAGAAGATTGTCTGAGTATAACCGCCACATTTTGGACTCGCGTGGGAACCGTATAACTTTTTCCGTCTTCTTTAATGTCGACGTTTAAAAGTCTGGTTCTTGTCAAACCAACTTTATGTGGGAATGGGCGCATGAACGCCTCAGTAATGATCACGCCAAGAGGCATCGGGAAATAGAAAGCATTAAATCTAAAACTTATTCCAGATTGACACCATATTAAATATTACATTAAATACAAAGAAAATGTCATTCTAACATTTCCAAGGCGGTGATTATACTACCTTTAGGCAATTATATTTTCACAGAAAAGATAAATGAATGATTAAAAATTGAAGCTAAGGGAATCTAATTTCATACCAGTTCAGGCTTTATGCAGCTGTGGTCAGGAGTGGTCTCCATCATACCAGCGAGTTAAACATGACTGGCTGAAAAGGTGAAATCATCAGTCAAACCCCAGTTTCTCCAGCTCACTGGTCCCACAGTACCTCTAAGGGCATGATAACACACTTGGGTGAAATGCCAGCGAGTAAAAATGGACATCAAGCCACTGCGGTTGGTCACTCTTGGCCAGGGACGGCACAGCACGGCGCGGCACAGCATGAAACAGAGCAGTGAGCTGCGTGTCTGGCCCGCTTCTAGTCGGGGATGGCCTAGTTGAGACAGGGTTTTGGCTATTTGTGGCCTGGAGAAGCAGTCATTTTTGGCCACACACGATCACCACTCTCCTCTGTTTTGGACAGAGTTGATTAATAAAATTAGAACCATTCAATCTGATGCACAACAAAAGTTGTTTTCCATGGGCTGAAACACACACACCGTTGCCCACATTAGTTTTTTCAACAGCGATATCGAACCACAAACAAGAACGAAAATACTTATTTTCAGAGAAATCAAATAAATAAACTGCAGAGGGGATGAATAAGGTCACGAAATAAACGCTCTATAAAAAGGACATCCAGAAATGTGGGAATGCTCCACAGTTATTCGTAATCTTTAGAACAAAGCGACGAGAGAAAGGCTCGCAGTGAGAGTATGATTATTTTTATGATGACAGGTTTAACCTCGAAATCCGGAACCTGGCAGGTGGCTTTTGAGATGACACGCCAGAGAAAGTAGAGAATAAATAGTATCAGCACGCACAGCGGTGAGAGGTGGAAAAGAGGGAAAGAGACACCAAATAACAAAGTAGTGGGAAAAAAAATCAAACAAAATCCACATTCCCTTCCGATTTTTTCGAATGCTGAACCAAACCTAAACGTCAGTTTAGTATTTTTGGCATCTGTGGTGTCTTTTACATATATATATATACACAGCCTCACTGTCAACACACTGTAAATAGAGGTAATGACTAAATACCTGGATGGCCTGGCCATGTATTTACTGGCCTCGGTACCTCTTACGTTTCAAATTCACTCATTCTGCACAAGGTCATAACGACATATCAAGTCAAATGCAAAATACTGCTCAGCTACAACTCTGTAAAAAGGTTGTAAAGAGGTAATAGTATGCAATACCACGGCTGTGATAACCATATAAATTCAAAACGCAGCTCCGTCTGCCGTTCTGCCTCCACAGAAATGGTTTATATAGTGACCTTGGAGCTACGAGGTTTCATCTGATTACACAATGGGACTCTGGCTTTCCTTCTTCAGTGTTTGTGCAGAATAAAAGGCAATAAATATATGTTTTACAGCCCCTTCACACACAATTACCACGGTACACTGTGAAGGGTTGATAGGGTGGCTGATAGGAATGAACACTCAGCGGTTACCTCTGGAAGGGTCCAGGCTCCTATTTTAAAGCGGAATCATTTTTAACAGCTTGAAAAATATGAAAAAAGATAAAGGAGTCGGACTCCTCACTGCTCTCTATGTATCTTAACTCCTTCGGTCCAGTAAAACATGCAGGATTTGGGCTTCGGGAAGCACGTTAAACAGCTGGGAAACTAGTTGGATCGGTCAGATGAAACCTCATAACGGGAAGGTCAGTATATTTCAGAGAAAGGTGCTACTGCTGCAGGCTGATCAGAGGATGATCGTTTTGAATTAGAGAGGCCATGACGAGAGCAACCCAGCCAGGACGCGTCAGGAGAGGTGTGCAAACGGAAAATGATGCAGTCTGGGGGAACTTTATGTGGAGAAGCCACTGTCATAATAGATTAAAAAAAATATTCAAAACAACACAGCTTTAAATTTGCAGGCCTGGTGGGGCTGGAGCAGAACTTGGTTGCTTGAAAATGACTCACTGTCACATTTGCTGAACCTTAACAAGCCCAGATTGTTGAGCGCAACGCAACACCTGCGAGGAGGGCTGGTTCCTCTGGCTCTGATTTCTGTTTCTAATGTTCCCCGTCAGAGTGGAAACCAAATGGAGGAGCCTCCAAGAGTCTCTAATGAGCTCTACATTTGAGCTGGAGCAAAACATTTTTTTGCCGTTTGGCTCACTTTACAGTCGTGGGATGTAAGCAGTTAGAAAAGCACACTTCTGTCTGAGCTCAAGGACACAAATGAATGAGCTTCATGCTTAAGAATACACAAAAGCACCATTAGATGACAAAAAAAAAAATCCTAAGACGAAGCTTTACTGCTGCTTAAATCACACGAACTGAAAAAGATTTATTAAAGCGAATAAAAAGAATCGATTGTTATGGTTTTTCTGTGGCTGAACCGGCCTTTTCTAAGGTACTTTTTTGCACATGGCATATGTTTTAAATTAGTGTGCAACATCATTTATATTATAAAATGCTTCATTTTATAGTAATTTAAAACAAAACTGAAAGTGACCAAAATTTATGCTAAAATAACTTTTTCAGGGCTTTTTTAGAATGTATATAATGAATGCTAACAAATGAGAGGCATGTAAAGTTTCACAAATGTGTTTAGTGTGGATTTAATTCCACGATTACCAACAGGCCTGTAATACAACCTTTCGGCTCCTGTTCGTGTGGGGAAAAGGATTACGAAAGCCTAATCTGCAGGTCGGGGCTTCGGGAGCCGAGCTGAAGCACAGCAGAGAGGTAGCGGTAGTTACCTTCATCTTTAGTCCACCTGCCTTCAAGCTCACCAAGTTCTGCTTTCATTAAAAGCCAACCACTCACAGCAAAAGCTGACATGATATGAGTCAAAAGTCTGGGATGTAAAACACCTCCACGTTTCTGTCGCAGATAGGAAACCAGCATACTGACGCACACTCTGTAAAAGTACAAAGTACCAGATGAGCTAGATAGAACCCTCTGTACCTCACTGTGATATGTTAGACACGTTTGACCTTCTTACAAAGTTTTCGGCTCAAAGCGAGCGGCGTGCTCTCCATCCGTGTTTTCGGATGTCGTCAACATCTGAAAAAGGCAGCCCAATCACAAGACTGGAAGTCAAGGAAAGAGCTTCACACCAAACAAAAGCATCCAGCCCGAGAACTGCCCCAGCTGGACTTTTTAAAAAATCATTTTGAGGTGAAGCTCCTCCAGTTTTCTAACTTTCTCCTACAGCACCAGCTTTAAAAAACACCTTCCATCTCTTTTTAAAGGAACCTTGACCGTTTCCAACAACGATCACATCAGCAACTTATGTATTAAAAAGTGAGTGTCACCCAAAATGCTGAACCTTTGGTCCACAACTCCTTAGAAAAATATTATAAAATGTCTCAGAATGCCATTTTTTCGTACGTTTCCATATAAATATGGGGGGAAAAAACTATTCTACTGTGCAAGTGAGAGAAACAAATACTTTTTTTTTTTTACACTTGAGGGTTGGGGAGGTATCTTTTTGCACAAATTGCAGAGTCATAGAACCAGAAAGCATCCCCTCCACCAAAACGCCACCTTGTTTCACAAACACAGTTCATAGCACTGACTCACTGTGAAGTAATTAGGATAGAATGACACAGATGGGGCAGGTGTAGGAGCACAGAGACGCTTGCTACTGCTCCTTTCCTCTGACCGGAGGTGAGGCCTGTACAAAGGGCTGTCCTCCGGAGCACCTCGTTGTTCACGCTTTACAAAACAGAAGACACAAGTTTTTTCCGTTGGCACATGAGCACTGGCACTGTGGGCGCTCACCTTCAGAAGCTACGTCCCACCTCAACCGAGGTAGACTCAGCAAAAAAAAACGCCTCTATGAAAGCGTCGTCCAGGACAGGGGCTCAGAATAACTGATATTAGTGGTCCAAGCTGCACGTCGCGGCACGTTTTTGAATTATTATTATTTTTCGTTTGCTTTGCAATGCGTCAATCAGAAAAATGCTAAAGGAGAAGTTGGCTGTGTGTCATTGTAACGCGTCTCATTATGTAAGTTTTATACAAGATCTTTAACTCAGAATGTCCCAAATCTCCATTTGCGCTTATTTACAGAGATGGGGTTGAAAGACGGTTCCGGAGCAGTGAGTCGACAGCACCTCCCGAAAAGCCTCTTGTCCATTCCTTAAAAGTGCTCTTCTTCTTCTTCTTCTGTCTTGATTGCGGCTCCCGCTTTAGCTTTTGTCGGAGGGTCGACGGTGAAGACAGGAAGCCTGAGCAGATGCGTCTGAATGTGGAGTTGCAGGTGTTGCATGTATTGCTTCTATATGTATCTCATTCACTACTTCTGCCAGCCGGCGTTTCGCCGATTCCTGAAATCAGTGGAGCTCCATGCAGTGGTCGCGACGGAAAAAAACAGAAAACAGACCGTTGAAGCTGGTTGAGCACGGGAGGGGGTGGGATTTTTACACGATGGGCGGTGTGTAAGCGTCTTTACGCGTGGTGTCCAAAGGCCCGAATGCGTCCGTCCTCACACGTGAGTCTGCATCCGCTGTGTGTGTCTGTGCGAATAGTCAGATGGGGGGGACGAGTAGGAGAACCGAGTGGAGCTTCCGTACTTGCCCAGCCCCGTTTCGGGACTCTGCTGTGCGGGCCCCGGCCCCGGTCCCGGTCCCGGCCCCGGTCCAGGCCCGGTCCCCTGTCCTGTGGGATACATCTCATAGGCCGGCCCTTCCTCAATGGGCGGGGCGAAGCCCATGCGGTAGGTGGCGTACTGGGACGGGTATCCGTAGGCGTCGTACGGCAGCTGGGTGCCGGCGTCCAGCAGGCCGCAGTCTCCCGCCGAGTAGTCTCCGGGCGACTGGAGGGCCGGGTTGGG